CAACAATTTCACATTTTATACATAAACAGGTGCTTGAAATAAACGGATAAATTAAATTTGATAATTTAAATTTTGACGATAAGTTATGATGCAGAATCATTAGATTAATGTAATAGTAGAGTGCCATTTAAAGTAGAAGGAATAATTTTAGAAAATCGTACGAAGCTGTACGAAAACCATTTTTGAAAAAAAACTCAAAAACTTGCAAAAAATTTCGAAAGTTTTGTATAAAAATTGTCAGGCAATGAAAATTGCCTTTATTAAAGAGATTGATTTTAAATATAAAATTTAATATATATTTTATTGTGTTTTCAATAATTCAGAGACAAACATGTAGGATAATTGCATCGTTGATTATGCAATGTTAGTTAAAAATCAAATTATCTTTATTTAAGTATTAAGTATTAAATATAATTTCTATATTATATGTATATTATTTGTATTCCTACATTATATGATTGAATATGACTTATGGTGTTCTAAAATTTGAATACTGATTGTTTTTTTTTATGTATGTTCTCTTTCTCCTTTTTTTATATTATAAATATTATAAGAAATATTATAGTACCTTTTTTTTTACACGTCCAGGCTACAATACTCATTTGATGATTTTGAAAGTTAACATACTTGAAAATTTTAATATAATAATAAGATGAGGGAATAATTTGAAATTTTTGTTAGAAATTTATTGATTCATCCAATTTATTCGTATTGAGTATGTAACGATAACATAAACTTTTAATTTTCAAAATTACTAAATTTTTTTTATATGATTTGATATTTATGTTTTGTTTTTTTTTTATTCATGAAGTTGTGACATATTTATGATTAGAATCTTGAATAGAATATATATATAAAATATATATATAAAATATAAACAAGAATAAATAGTATTTAGAGATATTTACAACATGAATAAGAACAAGTAATTTAAACTTAGGAAGATTTAAGCTGATTAAACTATTAACAAATCAGCGAAAGAGTCAAATCAATAACAGAATAATAATTAAAGATCTTATTAAATATGGTATATCTTTTTATTTCTATATTATTGTTAGAATATTATTGTTTTAATATAAATTGTACCATGAGCCGTCTCCATTTCCCTATTTAACGAAAAATAATTTCTTTAATAATATAAATCTTTTAACTTTCTACGATTTGAATTTAAAATTGAATTACTATTTATTTTATAAAGATTCATTTTTTTTATCAAATACTGCTTACGTTTGTTCCATTTATATTTTATCTTCTATTTTTCCAGATTTCCTTCAAATTGTATGATATTTTATAATTTATCAAACATTCGCGTTCATAATTGACCACGTCACGTACATAGAAATATTCTCCATTGAAATATTTTAGTAAAATATATTTTATTAATGGAATGATTTATATTACCTCGTTAAGAATAACTCAAAGCGTCAATAAAAATATAAACGTGCATTTTTTGTTGCATATAGTATTTAGTGTTATATAGCAAACAAAATGATAGGAAATTTATTATCAACGTTGTTTATCTTGATAATAGAAGCTCATTCTTTTGGACGTTTCCGGTTGATAACTCACGGAGATTCGACTTTTTACCCGTGCGTTCATTTCAAGAAAACTCAGCCGACTCTCTATGACCTTCTCTTAATTGGACACGTTCCAGGAAATTTTATGAGAACAGAAATTGATTTTCTGTCTCCGACTGACTGAACTGAAAAAGTAGTTACCACAGAGATCATTTCCTCTCTGTGTTCCTGGTTGATGCTCTTCTGTGCGTCTTCTCTCTCTCTCTCTCTCTCTCTCTCTCGTTGGGAATGATTTTTCGAGTAAGCTGCATTTCAGCCAGGACAAACGTCCCTTCGTTTGATAAATTGTAGAGAAATCGATTTGATCTCAAAAATCAACGATAGGTAACACTTACTCAATTAATTTTACCACATCTCGAAAATTCGAGAATCTCTGATTATATATATATACATGTTCGAATAATTAACAAACTAATAATCGTTTCTTGAGCAATAGAAATAATAAACGTTATGTCGTAATTCCAGAGTTCGATGAAAATTCAGTTTGAATAAGAATCGTGTTTTCATGAGCATTGCATTTTTAAGCGTACAATAACTCGAAAATATAACATTATATCATAATGTCGTTGTTTGATAATAAAAGGAACGTATTAATTGCGATAATTAAATATAATGTAAAATACTCCTTTTTCTCAAATATAATTTCCTTGTACAAGATGTCTCATTTTCAATCCATTTACACAATTATCTTTGCAACTATTCGAATAACCATCTGATTTGTCTAGGTGGAAGCATTTCCGAGATTTCAAAGTCATTAATTTTTCATTAATTTTTTAAATGAAATCATATATTCTTTTATGCAAAAGCATGAACTTTTTTAAAATAAAATTATTATTATTTTATTAAACTATTAAATTATTAAAATATTAATCTTAATTATTATTAAATTATTAAAATTATTAATCTTTTTTTATAAAAAAAGTTATAATTTAAAAGATATTTTAACTTTAATTTTGTAAAATTATCGTATGAAAGACATGGAAGATTTTTATGTTTATACTGTCTTTGCCTTTTACGCATAGATTTTACAAAATTAAAGTTAGAATATCTTCTAAACTAATAATTTTTCAACATACATAGGTTAGTACTAGTATAGAGAAATAGAAGAAGTCGAGCTGTATTAATTAATGTATAAAAAAAATAAATGATTCCAAGTGAATGTGAACCTGAGATCTTAGAAACGTCAAAAACTTAGACAAATCTGGTAGTCATCGTAAGATATTTTCCTCGAAACAGAACAAACTTTATTTTAAACATTATTTTCGAATAGTCTCGTGTGGATAATTGTATGGATAGAATAAAATATTATTATATAAATTCGTATATTCTAATTTTCCAAGTAAATCGAATTTGAAAATTTATTTGATATGTATAAATAGATACTAATAAAATATATTTAGTACGGAATTATTCCACATACAAAGATAGACTAAAGATATAGAATAAAATTTTTTTATTTAGTCTCAAAAAAATATAGTTAGGGTGGTTAAAAATTCGCTATAGATATTTGATCAATTTTCAAATTCGATCTGACGGCGAAATCGATCTGCGGGCCTTGTGAATGAGAATGGTAAACTCGAAATAAGATAAGATTTCAATTCGTGCTTCAAAAATAATTTCATTTTAATTTCATGTATCAAAAAACAAAGAAATACAAATGACATTGGTAGCCAGTTGAGATGAAATTCAGTAAATATCATAATAAGAAATGATGAATTTAAAATATTTAAAATATTAGATCTATAAGTTCAGAAAATGTAAGAAATTATATAAAAAGCATGTCGACTCGATATTTAGCTTCTTATAATGTTACTTTTTAAAACGAGTTGATTATCTTTTCTTTTTTCTTTTTTGAACACTTTTGATCTTTGAATTTGAGATATACAACACATTTTTCAGATATATATTACATTTTACTCATACTTATATTTTTTTGCTAATTGTGTCGAACACAGCATCTAATAGCAACGAAGATCTTATATATATCATATATATGCATACATACATACATACATGTGTATATAAGAATTTATAATTTGCAAACACATGAATTACCGAATCAGAGATTTCATATTCTAGAATCTCGTTTTTTCCTCAATATCAAGTTTTGGAATTTAAAAAAAAAAAAAAAAAAAAAAAAATTGTATTCAAATTTTTGTAGGAATTTATAGGAATTTATAGGAATATTATACAAGAATATGAACAACTTTTAAATCTAAATTCACCGTTAACTTAAAAATTGAGAATAGAAGAAAGTTTGGTAAAAAATTTCGCGATCTATACATATACATACATATATATAGTATCTATACATATACGCAAATGTTTGCACGTAACAATGTTAAAAATAAACTTTAAATAAATCTGTTTGCTGTTTGTTTTTATTCTGGTTCTGAGGACAAAAACAGGCGAAATTCTCTGCTGACGTCAATGAATCGTGTTTTATAATTTTACGACTATTCTGCGAGAAAGTTTGCGGGAAATTCATTGGGACTGTTGATTTGGGTCAGAATGTTATTTTGTATCTTCTCTTTTTTTAATTTTTTTTCTTTTTTTTTATAGCATTGTTTTAACTGTACATGTTATTCTGTATTTTATTCGAATCCTTTTCACAAATTTGCATAGAAAAGTTTAGTATTATTTAACAAAAATTGTAACTGTAATATCTTATCTTTAATAATATTAATAAGAAAAAATTTATTAAAAATTTTGAATTTGTATATGAAAATATAATTAAATTATTATATATATAATATTATATATATAATAATGATAAAAAGTATAAATATAATTGATGATAAAGATGAAACTGAATAATATAAAATTCTAATTATTATTTTTGTTGAATTTTTTATAATATTTAAAAGTTAATAATTAATAAAATTAAATTCATAAATAATTCATTTTATTATAAAATTATCAATTATTATTATTACAATTAAACATAAATATATTACAAAAAAATTAAATTTTATTATTTTATTTATTAAATAATAAATAATATATAAATATATATATATATATATTTAATTTTAAAAATTAAATTAATGTTAATTCGTTGCACAATTTGCATTGCATTTGTTTTTTTTTGCATTAATTGTTTTAGTTGCATTAGTTGTTTTGCATTAGTTGTTTTCATAATAATTGCGCAACCACTTAAGGATATAACCTGAATTAATTCGTATTTATTCGATTTTGTGTACAATGATAAGCTAACTCGGTCCTATTGTACAAATTTATACGAAATCGACTGCACGACCAAATCTTTCCTTTCTGTTTTCTTGATATACATAGTTGGATTTTAATTTGTTATAAGATAATGCTTTTTATACTAACTAAAATTTTTTAAAATTCTAATCATGAAGAATAGATGATTTTCGCTAATACGTGATCACCAATATACACTGTTTCTATTGCAGCAACGAAACAAAACAAAACGGACGACTTTCCAAGAGTAAGTAAGAACAGCTCTGGGCAGTCTATTTGACATTATTTCGATGTAAGTATATAGTAACGGTCCGGCTCGAGAGAAAGTCTCGAGATGAGATCTATGTGCTCTGGTATGATAGTTTAACTCCCTCGGGAGACTTCTGTTTATTAGCGCCGACGCTCAGAAAGTTTCTTTGCTACTGAAATTGGAAAATCGTTTTCTGTCTCGTTATTGGCCCATCATGTATCTTAATATATTCTACCTGTTATGTTATACAGTTCGTTTCTTTCCAGCAAGTTAGCTCGATGGTTTTAAATAAATCTGTCTTTATATTTTCACAAGATATAGAAAAGTTAAATTGAAGTGTGAATCAGATTGGTGTATATTTTATTTTAAATAAAAATAAAAACCAGAACAATTTGAAATAACTCTCGCCTTCTTTTTTCAATTAACGTATGAAATAACAATTAATTTATTAAAAATGATTTCTTGTGGTAAACGAACAATTAACATTAATTTGTTGTAACTTTAACAATAATAATACTGTGTGACAAATTTCAACTCTTTTTCATTTTCCTAACAGTTAATGATTATTTCTGGTAGATCTCTGCACTCCTCAGTTTTTTTTCTTTCCTTACTTTCAGTTTTTGAAAGAAAAGAGAAATAAATTTTGATTCATTTTGAATCATCTCATTTTCAGTTTTAAATTCATTTCATTCAATATTTCAAATCTGCTTTGTGTTGAATGATAAAAAGACAATTCAAAGATGCAATCTCTCATAAATATAATGATATGTATTCAGTATAATTTCAATACAAAAAGCAAAATAATTCGGCGAATCGTGCAACGTCAATCGCCAATAGTTCTCCTGAAACAAATGTATGTAAATATGCATAATGTTTCAGAACTATCACATTTTGTTAACGCGTTTGGGAGATTATCTTGAGCAATAATATATATTATATACATTATATCGATTCATTTTCATATAGAGAAAGAAAATTACTATAATGATTATCGAGTTCGATTAAAAAATATGTAATTTTTTTCGCAAAGGATTTACATGAAATCGAAAAAGTACATATTTAGATGGCAAACCTAATACACGTAATGAATTGATAACAAAACTTTAAAAAATCATTAATAATAACCTTGCTATTCAGCGAATACGGAAGCTCATTCGCATACAACAGCCAAGGTGATCATTTTGTGTAAATCTGGACTAATATAAAAAATGTGTGAAATATATATTATACTATTATAAGTACAATCGTTCCCGTAATAAGTACAAATTGGAACTATCATTTAAATAACTTAAATAACAAAATGACAAAAAAATTTGAAACCTATTTGTTACGTTAATAAGGAATCCAAATTAATTTATTATACTTATTATATATTATAATTATTATACTTACTATAACTTATACACTAGTACTTCACAAAAAAAAGAAGAAAAAAAAGAAAGAAAAAGCAAAATAGTTAAGAAAAATAGGTAATTCAAAAAAGAAAGAAAAATAGTTGTGAAAGTGTGAAAAATAGCTTGAGATAAATAATTATCATTAAAAGTTGAGTAGCTTCAATGTATTTGATTATTTATTTACACTATTTTCGTTTTCATATCTTGAATCCATGATGTATATATATCGTATTTCGCTTAATATGTTCTCCCAAAGAGTTAATAGATAGAGTTAATGGACCTTTATCTAGATATGTGTGATACTCGATTGTCCGGACAGAGTAAAATTACCAGATATAATATAATTTTATCTGATGTTTCGAGTAATTTACATTTTTTGTGTAATAATAAAACAAGTTATAATTTAAAATATGTCCACTAGAGTCGTTTAGAATCGAAAAAAAAAAATATCCAAGGCTGGTAAAATTTGCTAAAAAATGTTTGTTTACCAGCAACATCTGCCAGCTCTGAAAGAGTATTTCCCACAACTGGAAATATCGTTAGTGCAAGTATAGATATTCAATTTGAAATAATTATTTCGATGTTTTATTATTTCATCGCTAAAATAAAAATTACATTATAGACATTCGAATGATATGAGCATATATATATAGTTTCAACTACATGAATCCGGATTTCTCATGAGATATCAAGGATATCCCGGTAATTTTTGTTTATCCGGATATCTCACAGATAACTTATAAATAACAGCTTTACTCCTAAACGTGTTAGCAAAAGTCTGACGGTTGAGATTTGGAATACTGGTATATGTTGGATTCTGCGACGTGATGCGAAATCATTGAGAATCACTGGCAGCATCGCACGTTTCAATGAAATATTTTACTTACAAAAGCAGATTGTTTTTCTAATTTTGTTTGATAATATCCGAATGAAAAATATCTACTGCATTATATCACGCGCTGTCGAATTTCCCAGCAGACTCTTAGTTTTTGAAATAAACTATAATATATCCGACAAGGTTGAAAAAAAATAAAATCCCTAAATCACTTTAATATCGAGATTTTTTATAAAATTATTTCCCGTAAACGGAAATTATCTATTTTTTAGCAATCAAGCATAAATATAAATCCTTTTTGTCAATAATTGAGAAAAATTTGTTAAAAATGACTGACAGGCAGTATAATTTAACGAATCAAGTTAAACTTATTTTATTCACTAGTATTTCTATTCCCATTACTGTCGCATTATTTACGTGCACAATTTCTACACACAATTTTTCTTTCTTGTAATAGAATTAAAATTATTCAACTTTCTTGAAACTATCTGATGAGTTGATTACATAGAAATCATAACAAACAAAAGAGCAAGATCGAAATAATTATATTGGTTGGTTTCGAATTTCTGACCTGATTGATTTATTCGTTTTCTATCTACGTATTGCTTTGTACGCGTTAAAAAAATAATGTTCTTCTTATTCGAATCAAAATCATTCATTGTTCTTCAATGAATTTTCGATGTTATTTCTTCAAATTACTATCCTATACAGCGTTTTTCCTTTTGTTTTGTATTTTAATTAGTCTACGATGATGCACATTTGAAAGATGAAAATAGTAAAGAGAAAGCAGGAATATAGCCAATTCTATTTGAATCATGCGTATTCGTCTGAAATGTTTTAGAATAAAATCTAAATGTTCTAGTGCAAACATTATAAAATATGGACATTTTTAATGATGTTAGTAATATTCTAATTAGGTATTTGTTTCAGAGTATATTAGATATATTAGTATATTAGGTATAGTTTTATGTTTAATTATGCAAACTGATTTTCAGTAGAGTTCACAATAAAATTATAATACGTATAAATAACAAAGAAGACCAAAGAAATTTTACAGTAATAGATAAAATTTTCATCTTCAGATTGTATAAAATTTAAAAAGTAAACATAAATTATTGTAAAATATATTCTATTAATATATTTAACTAAAAGAATATTAGATTGTTACTTTGTTCTTAAATAGAAATGTGAAAATTAAATTACTTAGGACTTTTGTAATAAATGTTTTATAAGTGATGGTTTTTTTTGTATTTAATATAGGATTTTTATTTTGAAATAAGAAATAGGCTTTACTGTAATAGTAATTGTAAATTTGAAAAATATATTTCATTTATACTATATTGTTTTTATTATTGTCTAGATGATAATTTAAAAAAATTTTAATTATGATTAATTTAAATTATTATTGTATAAATAAACATAATTTAATTTAAAATTATAATTAATAATTTTATAATCTTAAAACATTTTGAAATTTATGGTAATTAAAGTTTTAAAACTTTGTAATAAGCTTAAAAACCTACATATTTAATTTTTTGTTGGATTATTACTTTTCTTTTATTTTTTATAAAAACTACAATTATTTATTATTATTTTCTGATTTTTGTCAGTCATGACTTTGTTTTCAAAAATTGTTTACATGGCTGTTTTTCAGTGAAAATAATTATCTTGCATTTGATATTTTCGTTCCGTTAATAATTTCATCGAGATCACATTAATAATAGTCGGGAAAAAATCAATACAACGCATACGTAATAAAGTGTCTAACACAGAATTTCTACATTTAGTTCAAATTAAGAAAATCACGTATAGTAAATGATTCGGAAACCGTTTGTTGAGAAGTTTGATCAAGTTAATAATCAAAATGTACAATGGGCAAGTTGTAAATTAGATTATTTATTTATGAATTAAATTTAATATTAATACATTCTAATACCTATTAATACATTCTAATGGTTAAGTTGGTGCATATGAAGTATCGTTCCTCGGAGTTTGAACTGAACGGGTTTACTATCTAGTAAATTTTGTACTATCGTCAGTTATTAACAATATTTATTTTTAATAGTTATTAACAACAATAGGAATCTTGTGGGAAAATGCATTATGGGAAATTTGATGTTGCAAACTTTAACGAAAATATACAGATGAACCCAAAATATAATACTCATTGTAAAATTTAAAATTGAAGATTTCGTTTTATCACAATTATATTTATAAAAATACCCCGAATTTGCATAGTACTCCGTAATCTTTTTATACTCCGTAAATATCGGTCTACTAGTGTCTTTATTATAGTTTATTATATTATAATAAAACGAACGAAAATTAAGATATATTAATTATGCTTTCATAATTATTGCTTAAGGAAATTGAATATTATTCGATGTGTTTTATGGTATAAATTTTTATCGACATTTTTGTTATTTAATAAAGTTGTTGTATACTTTTTAAATCACAAAAAAAGTAAAGGTTAATAATATAATTTACATGTGATAAATGTTGTACAGAAAATAAAACAGAAATTAAATTTATTACCTGCTTATTAACCTCTTGCACTGGAATGACGTGCTACGCACGTCGAGAATTTTTTCTTCCAAAATTGTAATACTTTCTCAGTTTTAAGTATATTTAAATGTAATCCAGGCAAAACAAATGATACGTTTATTATTTCTCAATAATTTCTATCCAGTGATATCATACGGTTTGGTCATTCGTTATGGTCCGCAATCAGTTATCAGCGCAAGTGGTTAAGGTAATATAAAATTAAAAAAAAATTATATACTTAATGAATTTCCTTCTTCCTAGTTTGATTT